ACTACATGTGTAGGCTCTGGACAAGGAAGCAAAGAGGCCTTTAACCCCCCAAGGAGTCGTGACCAGATGTGTGGGTCAGCACATTTCCTTGAAGCTACTTCCCAGCAGGCACAGGATTTCCTCAGAGACTCTTTAGAATTGTAGAAGGTTCTAGATCAGTGATTCTCAGCCCGAAGGTTGTGATCCCTTTGGGGTTGCATATCAGATATCCTGCATATCAGATATTTACATTACAATTCATAATAGTAGCAAAATTACAGCAATGAAGTAGCAAAATAATAATTTTATGGTTGGGGTCACCATCACATGAGGAACTGTGTTAGAGGGTGGACCATTAGGGAAGTTGAGAACCACTTTGAGCCACCTGTTTCAAAGCTGTGGGTTGACATCTCTGTACCGCTGTTCTCCTTGGACCCTCATCCTGGCCCCACAACTCCTAACATTTGTTTATACCCCTGCTGCCCATCTCAAATCTCTCACACCTGAAATACAGAGTGATGTCTCTTTCTCTGTCTACACTTTGTCTGCATCAGAAATGAACACACGAGCACCAGACCATGGCACAGTCCTATTCTAGATATCCACCACAGTGCCATCACAGCTGAAATACAGATATTTGATCTGGCCAAAATTTTATGTTCTCCATTCAGCTTTGCAATAGTTGCGGTCATACGAGTGGGTCTCGTCATTGGACCTGCTGTGAGAAGACCTGAGGGAGGATTTCAGGACCAAAGCACTCAAGGCCTTTTCAGGCCAGCTCCACACTAGCACCCACGACAAGGCTAAGACGCTACTGCTACTTACCAGACAGTAGTGCTCCCACCAGCCTGACTCTGTCCACCCCCGGGATGCACAGAGCCACTTTGTCCATCTACGCTGAGCATGTAACAGGAGGAAGAAGGAATCTTTTATTAGGTGAAAACTGCTGGAAGATTGATTAAAGTTTCTTCCCAGCTGACCCGAGGCCAACCTGATGGTCTCAGAGGTAAGTCCTACTTCAAAACCGAAAAGCCCACCCCCAAAACATACCTGTAACAAGTGTACATGCATTTACATGAGCTTGCATGTATGTGGGTGCACATGTGGGTGCAGGTTCATGTGTGTGCATGTGTGGAGGACTGAAGTTGACACCCAGTGTCCACCTTGATCACTCTCTACCTTGAATACTGAGGTAAGGCCTCTCACTGAACCCATAGCAGGCACTTTAAGCTACTCAAATTGTCCATTTTGCTCTGGAGATCCCATCTCCATATTTCTCACACAGGGATTCCGGAGCCAGGTGCCATGTCTACCTGGATTTTTACATGGGTTTTGGAGCTCTGAACTCCAACCTTTGCTCTTGCAGAGGACCTTGGTTTGGTTCCCAGCAAATATATGATGACTCACAAGCATTTCTAACTTCAGTTCCAGGGGATCTGATGCCTTATTCTGTCTCCATAGGCACTGTCATGCATGTGGTGCACATACATAGATACAAAATAACTGTACACTTAGATAATTAAATCTAAAAGTAAAAGCATTTAAAAAAAAAAAAAGATCGTAAGAGCCAGAGGACCAGAACATCTGTTATCAGAAAGTATCTCTTATAAATGTCAGGGAACTGCACCCATGAAGGCTCAGTGGTTACCTAAATATCATGTCAACATCAGCTGACATCTAAAACAGATTGGGAAAGTCTCCCCTAAATGAAGAGCTAGAGATAACTAATGACTGCCAAGAGAAAAGAATCAGTCTGCTCTGGGGATGATCCCTCTGAAACATTATCCAACCCGAATTGTCAGCCCTAAAATATATACATGTGAGGAACACAAAATGGACTTAAAGATTGTGTGTGTGTGTGTGTGTGTGTGTGTGCGCGTGTGCGCGCGCGCGCGCGCGCGCGCACGCTTGTAACAGTAACAGCTGAAGAAAAAGAGATAAATCTGAGAGTGGGTTGGAGGAGACAAAGGAGAAATTGGAGGGAGGGAGGGTGAGGTTAGAATGGAAATGATGTAAATACAATACTCAAGTATAAAATTCTCAAAAAAATAGTAATTTTTAAAAATGCTATGTAGATTCATGATCATTTCAAATGCGTTTTTGACACGTCCCTGTTTGTTTAGTTACTTATGTGCAATTTATCACATTTGGTACAATGTGGGAGCTCTAGAAGTTAAGGGTTTTTTTGAGTCAATACTACTTTACAGCAGACTCAAACAGGTCAAACAGTAATTAATGACTCATGGCCATTCTTAATGAATCCCACTCACTATCTCACACTGAATGACTCTGGTTACTCTCTACATAGGGTATGGTGTTCATATAAAAGATACAGATTATTAAAGCAGATCACCAATTAAAACCCTCTAATGCCATACTGTAGGAATTTGAAGAGAAAATCCATACTATAAATACAAGGACTACATGACCTCATTTTCATGAATCAAATCAGTTTCATTATTTATTAATTTTATTTTATGTGTGGATGTTTTGCCTGCGTGTATGTCTGTGTATCACATGCATGCAGTGCCTGAGGAGGCCAGAAGAGGGAGTCAGATCTCCCTCTAGAACTGGAGTTACAGAAGGTTGTGAGCTGCTATATATGGGTGCTGGGAATTAAATTCAGGACCTCTGCAAGAGCGGTTAGTGCTCTTAATAGCAGAGCCATTCCGTTGGCTCCTCCCTCCCAGTTCAGTTTTTAGCTGTTGCCATAGATTAGCAGTTGGAAACATCCTCTTTCGTGAAATACACTGCCAATTAAAAAGCAAAGACAGCAAGAGTGTTTCCAGACAAGATAGAAAATACCAAATATTGCACAAGACATACCTATAGTAACATTTTTGTTTGTTTATCCAAAACCCGCTATCTTAAATAAACACATCGTAGGGTGTCGTTATATGAATATACTTTGCTCAAGTTCTGTTGTTCTTTACGTGCCTTTACCAACCATACTCGTTCTCTCCTCTGGACTCTACATCTGCCCATGCCTGTCCCTGTGTCTCATTTAGTCTTCTGTACCCAGGTGGCTCCTTTTGATCAGCCAAGTGTCAGCAGGTATCTGTTCAGAAAACTATCCCATGAACACTACAGCAAAAGAAGTCCCTCCCCTCTTTCTATACCCAACTTAAATATCAGCATATCTTTCCATTGCTATCTTTCTCTCTCAGTTCCAGATATATACCACATGAGACTCATAGACTTTCTCGCCCACTGTTGGGTAATATAATCATACCAAGAGCATCCTTGAAGTATGGCTGATGCTTAAATAACTGTTGGGTACTAACTGAGTATCAAGATACCTTGTGTCTAAGTTGGGGACATGGCTCAGTGGTTAAGAGCACTTGATGCTTTTGCAGAGGATCCAGGTTCATTTCCCAGCATCCACATAATGGCTCACAATTGTCTGTAACTCCAGTTCCATGGGATACGGCACTATCTTTTATTTTCTGCAGGTACTACAAGTACATGTGCATACATGCTGGTAAAACACTCATAAGCATTAAGTACAAATAAATTCTTTAAAACCTTTACAACAAATACAGTGTCTGATGTTTCTTGAGATCGGAGAATATGTATAAGCTTTTTCTATAGGGAAAAGGCCACATTTCTTTAAGAAGACTTTAGGGGTTGGGGAGATGGCTTACGCAGTAAGGTTCTTATTGTAAAAGCATTAGTACCTGAGTGTGGATCCCTAGCACCCACATACAAATCTGGATTGCTGGAGATGCAGCTCAGTTGGTAGAGTGCTTGCCTAGCATGCATCAGGCCACAGGTCCGATCCTTAGCACTGCATAAGCCTGGTATGGTGGTGCACACCTGTAATCCCAGTTCTCAGGGAATAGAGGCAGAAGGATCCTTGGCTACCTAGGGATTTAAAAGACCTAGTAGCATGCTGTATAGAACTCTGATCTAAGTCAAGAGACAGAAGGATCCCTGGGCTCACTGGCTGGCCAGCCCAGTAGAATCAGCGTACCCCAGGTTCAGACACAGACACTGTCTCAAAAATATGGGAGGAAAACAATCAAAGAAGACATTCAACATTGACCTCCACGTGCACACACACACACACACACACACACACACACACACACCCTTAGAGTTAAATCTGAGATGCTTTCAAATGTGCAACAGTAGTTGCATATGGTAATGGTTTCATAAACCATGTTAATCAAGGGACCACAAAAATCATTTAATCTCAGAGTTTTCCTCACCACCATCAAGTTCTGATTATATTTACATAGAAATTGACTCATTATCATGCAGCTGATAAACACTGCTAACGGGAGAGCCTGCAGACAAATATTTTGCCAGCGAGAATCTCCAATTTCAATTGCTCCAGGAAATCAACATTTTAAAGACTGCCAGAGAAAAAGGTGACATTCCTATGTCATCAAATCTCCTTTCCTTGTGGATGTAAAAACTGATAAAGTCAATAAGAATAACACTATTGTTTTTATTATTTGAAACAGAATCTCTCTCTGTAGTCCTAGCTGGTCTAGAACTCACTATGTGAACCAGGGTAACCATGGACTCAGAGATCTTCTTGTTCCTGTCTCCTGAGTGCTGGGACTGAAGGCATGATTCATCACCTTTGGCACTTAAATATACTTTTAGAAATTTAAATGTGTACAAATGTCTGCTGAAAGATTTTATGAAAGTAAAAACTTCAAGTGACTAAGACGAAAATACAGGGCGTCAAGCTGTAAGAACATCGTAAGCAAATTAAGAATAATGAAATGATCCTAGTTTGGTTTATTTAAGAATCATGCTGTTGATGAGCAAGCATGTGAAATTACTCTCTAATTGCATAATGTGCATAAATACATGCACATATTTAATGTAAATAAAATTTTACTTTCTAACCACAGTATAAAGCTAAGGTATGAACTGTGTACTTAAACATTTTCTCTACTGGGGGATTGACTCACACACTAAGTCACAATCCCAGATCCCTAGTAGACATTTTATTTTAGGTTTTTGCTTCTGTTTTGTTTTTCTTTGTTTGTTTGTTTCCTTTTGAGACAGTGCATGGAAGGGGGCCCTTCCCCTGAAGCACAGGGATCCTAGTACTGGTTTCACCCTCAATGAAGAATGATTCTCCCTCTACCAGCAACTGTCAACTGCAAGTAACTCCTGAGTAAAGGGTGGGGTCTGGAGATTACCCCACCTATGCAGGAATCTCGGATGACTTGTTCTTACATAGGCCTTGTGCAGGTAACTGGTCAGTTTGAGATGGGTTTCTCTATGGCATGCAGCAAAAGTGTGTGGTTTCTTCAACAGCAGGATCCTACTATGTAGTGATGGAAGTAACCAAGAATAATGAAAGTAGTCTGAATTATTTTGGAGACCTCTTGGAACTATCCAATCAATAACTCATAGGGAGAAAGTCCATGCCTTGCACTGTGATCTTCATTTAATAACACAAAATTATTAAATTATGGGAGTGACATTGTCTATCTATGCAGGCTAACTCTGTTTGAACTCATTTTTAAGTTTGATTTTGCAATTAGCTTACTAATTTGTGTGTTTCCATGAGGCTGTTTCATACCTCCATAGCTTTAGTTAACTCACCCATTATTCCCTCCTCTATGGCTCTTTCACCCCCATCCTGACTTAATTAATCCTTTAGCCTAAAGTATCCTGTAGTGATATTTCATTTGTGTTTTTAATAAATAAAACTTGTTTGAAGACCAGAGAGTAAAACAGCCAGCCACTGGCTCTTACCTCTACCTTAGTCTGAAATGGTGAACCAGCGTCCAGGAATCTCAGATGGAGACTGTGTCTGAGAGCTGTCTTCTCCCATCTTATAATCCTCTCTAGGGCTGGGATTAAAGGCGTGTACCACTACTGCTTGGTTTCTATGGCAAACTAGTGTGGCTACTGGGATTAAAGGTGTGTGTCATTGTAGCTACTGGGATTACAGGTGTATGTCACCACTGCCTGGTCTATAATGCTGACCAGGTTAGCTGTTTTACTTTCTGATCTTCAGGCAAGTTTTATTTATTAAAATGCAAATGAAATATCACTACACTCAGGCATATATACAATCTAATCAAGAATACCTGAGTTTGAAGATAGCAAACATTCTAATAATCTCTCTGCTGTAGGAATTCCTACAGCCAGTAGCCTTTAAGTTACCTGCCCACTTGGGCATGGCCTCTTATACTATGGTTGTAATGCTGATGTAAGCATGGGGGTCTCTCTCTCTCTCTCTTCCAGCTGTGGGATTCCGTTGCTGTTCCCCATTTGAGCAGAAGACTGTGACCTGTGATTCTAACCCTAAATAAATAACCCTTCATTATACTCAATTCTGATCTAGTGTGGGATTTCTTTTTAGCATCCTTCTTCATCTGGCGCCCACGTGGATCTGAACTCCACACCTACCAGGTGGACACGCTTAAAAGGCCTAAAAGGTCCAGAGCCCAAAAGTCTCCCACCCCTGCCTGCTTGGATTGCTTTCACCTACTAAGCAGTTTTTTGTGAAACCCCACCATAGTGGAGCTAAGTGCGCACAGTAATTTGGAAATTTCCGAAGTTCACACACATTCCCCCCCTCCCACTGTTGTGTTTCCTGCCACACGATTATCTGCACAACTTCCAGTTGGTGCTTCCTGCTCCTGAGTTCTGGGTTCCTTGCTCTGTGTATGGAATTGATATAATTGCTTTTAATTTGTCAAGCAAAGCATATATCTCAGTATTTCCAGCACCAAGGTGGAAAACCAAATAGGCTCTGGACTATTCCTGGCGCTACCAGTTGTGCCTCTGGTCATGACTCTGTAACCCTGACACCTGCTGGACAATAAAGATTATTACACCTAAAACAATTTACCAGACCTCATAACACAGGTAAATGTTTTATTAATTAATAAATCAATAAACTCAAAAGTTATATAATTGCAGACAACATTACTATTGCTTTGCTAATACTATGGGTTGTATTCTGAAAGGCTTATATGTTTATTGTGATATATCCATTTATTAGATATTGGGATTCAGTTTTTTTCTTCATGTTATACCTTTAAGAAAATGGTTTGATAACATAGCCAAGAATGAGGCACTTTTAGAAATTATACAGTATTTATAGACTAATAATGAACAGATATCTGACAGGATTAATACCATCAAAAATCAAAGCATACCTGAAAAAATTAATACTATTGAAAAGGGTAACATTAATTTGACAGGCAAAGTTGAATCCATGTCAAAAGGAACTGAGAAATTATCTGAAAGAATTCAGACTGTTGAATTTAACAATCAAAATTTGTTAAAAAGTTATGACAAGTTAGCAGGTAGAGTATCTCTCCAGGAAAGCAATCTGCACACTATCCAAATAATGTCTAAGGATGAGATGTTATCTTTAAAGGAAAAACTTCAGATCTTAGAATCACATGTACAGAATGAGGACCAGAGGCTAGATGCCTCAATAAAATCACTAGAAATATATACAGGCCAGGAGATTCAGGCTTTACAAAAGACAGTAGTCAAAAAGTTTGAAATGATTGAGGAAATTATTGGAGCTGATGAGCAGGAAAAGAAGGTACAAGGACAGGATTTAGCATTGCCAGTAGCTGTCAGAGATGACTTAATCAGGGTTTTAGCTTCCTACCCTGTAATCTATCTGACAAAGCATCAAATTCTAAAGGCCCAAAAGGATCCAAACAAGGTAGAGGGATACCTATAGGAATGAATGATCTAAAAGAAATTAAGCAAGCAGTAGTAACTTATGGTTTGCATTCTGCATTTGTTAGGGAGATGGTAAAGACAAGGGCTTCTAGCAGTAAAGCAACACCACACAACTGGCTTCAGTTAGTTTCAGTAGTCATTGATGATGGGCCTCAACTGATGTGGAAATGTTGTTTCAGGGAAGAGGCAAAAATTTTGAAACAACAGGGAGAAGCAAAAGGACTTGAGACTTCCAAAGATCAAGTTCTTGGTGAGGGCACTTATGCTGACCCACAGGCTCAAGCTCTTTACAATGAACAAATCTTGTCCCTATGCCACAAAGCAGCCTTAAATGTTTGGCACAGGATTCAAGAACTAGGAAAACAAATTGAATCATATACCAGGGTTAAACAGGGTCAGAGAGAACCATTTACTGACTTTTTACAAAGATTAACTAGTCTGTACAAATAGGAGTAACAGACCCAGATGTTAGACAAGTACTTATTGAATCTCTGGCTTTTGAAAATGCCAACTTAAAATTCAAAAAGATATTTGGACCTTTAAAGATTAGATCAGCACCAATGGATGAATGGATACTGCATACAATAAACCTTAAGACATTTGACTATAATACTGAATCTTGGGTAAGAGAAGCAATTTCCAAAAGTATGAGGAGACATCAAAATGACAAACGTTTTAATTATGGTAAACTAGGACATCTGAGAAGGGATTGTAGACAAAGAATTCCTAGAAATAATGTCTCTTCTGAAAATGGCAAAAAAAAAAGGTATCAACCTTCTGGATTATGTAGAAGGTGTGACAAAGGCTGACATTGGACCAATGAAGCAGATCAACAACAGACAAACAAGGCAACCTGATAACATTGGGAAATTCCTTGGTGGGGGCCTCTTGCAGGCCTCACAAGTCAAAAGTGCTCCAGTCATTCCCAGTCACTGCGGAGGACATGTCTCACCAGGAAAATTAAAAAATCCAGAGTTTTCTGTAAAAAACCATACTGTTCTAGATGATGGGATAAACATGGAAGATGAATAAAAAATTCCGATAGGAAATAGGAAACGTATATTCTGGCAGACTTCTATAAATGATCAAAGACCAAAGCTAAGAGTGCATATAAATGGCATTGTAATTGTTGGTTTGATAGACACAGGTGTGGATGTGAGTATCATTACTCCAAAATCTTGGCATCCTGTAACATGAGGGGGCCTGCTTGTTTGTGTTTTCTGTCCTGCCCGATACCCCCAGCTGTTTAGTCCCAGAGAAAAATCACACTGAAATCTCTATAAGTTATAATGCTGATTGGCCCATTAGGTCAGGCTTCTTACTGGCTAACTCTCACATCTTGATTAACCCATTTTTCTGATCTATGTTAGCCATGTGGCTCAGTACCTTTTTCAGTGGGGCAGCTCACATCCTGCTGCTTCAGTGATCTGGGCAGGAGTGGGAGGAATCAACTTCCTCCTCCCCAGAATTCTCCTGCTCTCCTTACATCATTTCCACTTCCTGTCTGGTTTTCCTGCCTACATCTCCTGCCTGGCCAATCAGCTTTTTTTTAAAAACATGATTGACAGAATACAGACAATTCTCCTGCACCACTTCCCCCTCTTTTTTTAAAAAACAAAGGAAAATATCCATAGTCCATTTTTGGGGAATGTGGGTGTAGTATTCCAGGCTACTTCCAGCTGTTTGGGGGCACTGATAATCTTATGGGGACCTAAAGAAAATTTAGAGTTATGATCAAGTCCTGACTGAAGTATCTTATGAGTCTTGATCATCTCAGGCAGCAGTTTTGAACCTGTTCTGGATGAAGAACTCAGACATCTGGGCCATCTGTTCCTACCGGAGATTGCTCAGGTGATCTCCCTTGGTCAAAGATGATTTTTCTTAACTCTGAATAAATCCAGAGCCTCTCGTTTTCTGTGGACACAAAAGCAAAATCTCTTCTCCAAAGTAACATACCTTTTGACTTAAATTTTGAAGCCAAGGTATTTTCAAAATACTTACCTTGGATTAATTCTGCAACATTTATAAGCAAATATCTTTTAGCAGCTGTTACTCCTTCCTGAGCATTTAAACAATTCAAAGAGAGCATAATAGCATACAGTATCAAGATTCTCTGTGTATTTTTCATCTTTATGTGGCTTTATTTTAACCTCTATTTCTTTTATTTTTACTTTTAACTTTTGGCTTTTTGAGACAGGTTCTCTGTATATCTTTATCCTGGAATTCCCTCTGTAAACCAGGCTATCTTTGAACTCCCAGAGATCCATCTGTCTCTGCCTCCCAGGCTACTCGTTCTTTCTTTTTATTTTTTTACTCTGAGAACTATAACCTTTAGCCTGTATATATTTTTAACACAATGTAAACCATTTAGAGGTTTTCTTACTCTTTGAATCTCTCTTAACTGTATATCTCTCTTTTTCTGACCACATGGGTCTTTAATTTGCTAAGGAATATGGAGAAAACAACACTCAAAAGCTCTTAAGGCTTTTCAAGGTCCTTGCCAGGAAGCAAGCTGCAACAGTGTTTCCATAGCCTGGACTGCCTGCTAGAAAGAGTCAGAGTTTTCCCTGGCAGGATGGCCCAGAAAGCCAGCATTTTAAAATAGCGCAGCTTTTTTTCTGCTATGACTGAAAACTGAAATGCTTTACTCTAGTCTTTTCCAAGCTTTCTTCAGGCTTTCTGTGGATGCAGTTATCCACTTGGGCGCCATTCTGTAACATGATGGGCTGTTTGTTTGTTGGGGGTTTCTGTCCTGCCCAGTCTCCCCAGCTGTTTAGTCCCAGAGAAGAATCACACAAAGATTTCTATAAGGTATAAAGCTGATTGGCCCGTTAGGTCAGGCTTCTTACTGACTAACTCTCTCATTTTGATTAACCCATTTTTCTGATCTATTTTAGCCATGTGGCTCAGTACCTTTTTCAGTGGGGCAGCTCACATCTTGCTGCTTCGGTTATCTGGGCAGGAGTGGGAGGAATCAACTTCCTCCTCCCCAGAATTCTCCTGCTCTCCTTGCATCATTTCCACTTCCTGTCTGGTTTTCCCGCCTACATCTCCTGCCTGGCCAATCAGCTTTTATTTAAAACATGATTGACAGAATACAGACAATTCTCCCGCACCAGCTTCCAAATTGGCCTCTTCAAAAGGGAAATGTTCAGTTACTAGGAATTGGAACCCTATCTCAAGTGAAACAAAGCACAAGATGAATTGAATGCATAGGGCCAGAAGGACAGAGAGAAAGGCTGAGGCCATATGTGGCTAATATTTCAGTGAATTTGTGGGATTGTGACCTGCTGCAGCAATGGAATCCCCAGATTAACATTCCTGCAGTCCCAGAAACTCCTAATTTTGGGAAGGATATTATAAGGTACTATACACAAAGGTCACTAGCCATTCAGGCTGTAGAAGAACACGAAGAAACTAGCAAACCTTTAGAGGTACCATCAACCCTACCTTTAAAATGGTTAACTGAGAAACCAATATGGGTTAAACAGTGGCCATTAACAGAAGACAAACTGGAGGCTTTAGAATAGCTTATACAGGAGCAAATAGATGCTCACCATACTGAAGAATCAATCAGCCCTTGGAATTCTCCTATATTTGTTGTTAAAAAGAAATTTGGA